TCACTTTTACTCTGGGTTAATTTAACAGATAATGGAAATGAGGGAAGAGTATAATAGCTTGATGGGTAGCAAAACTGGGAGAAAGGTATTTAGGGGATGAGATGTGAACGGGCTAAGATGGAGCTCGAAGAGAAAAAAATCTGAATACCTAACAGGGAAAAATAAATGACTAAAGGAACAAGGTTCCAGAAGAGTCAGGGCCCTGAAGGTAGAAGAGAAGAAGGTTAAAACATTTGTGAGGCAGACAGCAGAGTGAGAAATTTACCCCCCTCTAATCTCAGTGATGTAAAACAGAAGGTCACGTCCCCCGAGAATGTAAACGCCAGGCTGTGTGCCTGAGGCAGGTGGGAGTAGTTCACGCTTTATTTGAGAAATGGAGGGATGAACAAGACAGGAAGGTGTCCACGCAGTGAAAGGCGCGCTGGGTTCATGGCCCCGATTTGCAGGGACAGCATGAACAGAGAGGTCGGCAGTGGGGCTGCACAGAGTGGCGTGACCTCACGTGACACGCTGGCAGGCAGATGCTATGGGTCAACAAAGCAAGACAAAACCTGGTGGAGGACGCTGAGGCCTCCATGGAAGTGGCCAAAGGGCCATGATGCACATGGAGTTCAAGTTCATCCAGTCAAGTACAAAAGGAAAGGGTCCGGGGACTGGATTTGTCATGAAAACAAAGTGCTGCCCGAGGAACAGTGAAAGAAGCAAAAAAGGTTCCACATCAGGAGTTTAAAGTTTGAGATCAAACATTAAAAACTTAAAATCTGGGGCGCCTGGGTGGCGCAGTCGGTTAAGCGTCCTCAGCCGACCAATGATCCGCGATCTAAGGTCCGTGGGATTCGAGAGCCCAGCGTCAGTTTTGGGCTCTGGATGGCTTTCGGAGAGCCTGGGCCTGTTTCGATTCTGTGCTCCCTCTTCTCTCTGCCCTCCCCGTTCATGCACTGTCTCTCTCTGTCCCAAAAATAAATAAACGTTGAAAGAAAAAAAAAATTTTAAAAACTTAAAATCTTAGGGGCGCCTGGGTGGCTCAGTCAGTTAAGCGTCCGACTCTTGATTTTGGCTCAGGTCATGATCTCATGGTTTGTGAGTTTGAGTCCTGGATCGGGCTCCACACTGGTAGTGTAGAACCTGCTTGGGATTCTCTCTCTCCCTCTTTCTCTGCCCTCCCCTGCTTGTGCTCTCTCTCAAAATAAGTAAACTTAAAAAAAAAAAACAAAAAAAACCCTTAAAATCTTAGGAAATAAGGACAAAGGTTTTAGAAAATGCACAGAAGGAGAAAAAAACCTACTCAACAGAAAAACATAGGAAGATGTTTTCAAGTTTGCACTGACATTATTCAAAAGTTACTCATTTCCATTTTTTTCTTTATCTACTTCTTCAAACCCGGATTTTTATGGACAAAATTTAATCAAAGAAAGACCCAAAAAAAAACCTTAATGGCCCTTGTGTACATTATAATTAAGACTAAAATGTCTACCTTTGTGAAATATTTTCCATTTCATAAAGTCACAAGTAAACCATTTCTTTCGTCAACTTACCCTGCTTTATTACAGTCGAATCACCTCGCCTTTTCCTTCGGGCTCTCTGCGAACCCCTCAGGATTCTTCCATCTTGTTTGTTTTCCTACAGCAAGAAAGGGAAATTACGATTTTACAAGCTCATGAAATTGGCACCAATGAAAAGTTAGAGAGCTGTCAGAAAGCATTATTCTTTTTTGTACTTTTCTTCAATTTCACTTTGTAAGTTTTAAAGAAAGTAAGAATATAGGTCATATGAGAACTGTGTTGCTTTTGGCCTGAGGTCATTACCAAATAAGAACGTTTCCAAGAATTACACTCTGGAACTGCACAGATACTGTTCCTGCCTTCTTGAAGCACTTTCTTCTTGTAGCTCCTTGACCACTTTGTTCTGATTTTCCTCACACCCCACTGGCCCATCTTTCTCAGTCCCTTTGCTGATGTCTCCTCCAATCCAGTCCCTTTCTCTTCTCTATCGAATCCCTCTTCCCGGGTTTTAAACATCATCTGTCTGCCAAATATCCACAGTCATATCCCCTGACCTCGTCCCTGACTCCACACTCACAAACCCGACTGCCCACCTGGGATCTCCACTTGGAAGCCTAACGAGCATCTCAAACTCCTGATTCCAAAGGACTCTAACTTCTGTACTCCAGTTTTGCCTTCCCATCTTCAATAAATGGCATCGTTATCCAGTCGACTATTCAAGCCAAAACTTGAGTTATTCCTGACTCCTCTTTCCTGATGACCCTGCCTCTAACATCTACCCTGAAATCAGTGACTTCTACCCTACACAGCCCTTTCAGCTAGTCTACTGCAATAAACTAACAGCCTTCCTTGATTCCATTCTGTCACACATCAAAGCTAGAGCCATCACTTGGAAACGTAAACCCTATCAACATATTCCCTTGCCTTCAACTTTCCAGTCCCAGCCCACACAAAACAGAATGAAACCCCATTATTCTGGTTTATCATAAAGCATTACATAGGCTGGACCTCTTCAGCTTCACCTTACTCCACCCTCCCTTCACCTGTAAGGGTCAACCATATTGTCTTTATTTCCTCAACAAAACATACTACACATGTTCTCACCTTAAGGACTCTTCCCTAGCCACTCCATTGCCCAGGGGGCTCCTCACTCTTACTTTTACAAACCTGGCTCCTTCTTATTATCAAGATCACACAGTTCATACCACCTTCTCTGGGAGGCCTCCCTGAGAACCCAACTGGAAGCAGTGAATCAATTCTCATGCCCGCCTGTACTTCTCACCGTAGCATTTATCATAGGCTGACAGGTCTCCTGTTTATTATATGTCCCCTTAAAAGAATGTGATGTCCCTGCGAGGAGAGACCCTATTCTCCTAATGCTGTTCATCCCTGTGTTCCCAGCTCCTAGAAGAATGACTAGCAAATAATTGGTTGCTCGATATTGATCTGAAGGGAAATGCTTCAAGACCTCAAAGTTCTCTTTTCGTATAGGACCATTAATATGTACTTTAGCAATATTTATGTTTTAATTAGCACATTTGGAATTAGTTTCCCCTAAATATACCTGACATTTATATGCCATTTTCTACCTACTCACATAGTTTTATGAGATCTGTCTGCAATTTACCAAAATGGGATTGACATTTTTTGCCATCAAGAGGAATTAAAGATTCATTTGTACAACTGAAGGTTTTGCTGTTGCCTTTTCTCTCCAGTAATAAATTTCAGCACATCTTACTTCCTCACCCTAAGGAAGGAGTATTATTATTTATTATTCTCATTTTGAAATGCAGACAGTGACATACCAAAGCGGGTAGACAGGTAATTTGTTGATGGTAACACAGAGAGTCATGGAACCAGCCCTGGAAGTCAGATAACTGGCTGCAGAGCCAGCACCTTTGACCATGGTGTTACTCTCTTAAGAAGTGCCCCTGTATCAGAGCACCTGGTGGCTCAGTCGGTTAAGCGTCCAACTTTGGCTCAGGTCATGATCTCATGGTTCATGAGTTTGAGTCCCACATTGGGCTCTGCACTGACAGCTCAGAGCCTGCTTCAGATTCTCTCTCTCCTTCTCTCTGCCCCTCCCTAGCTTGCCCTCTCTCTCTCTCTCTCTCTCTCTCTCTCAGAAATAAACAACAACAACAAAAATACCCTGAGTTCTTTGGTAGTTGCATCAGAGATACTAACCATTTCATCATCCCGATCTTCTCCATCCTCCTTGGAGTCAGCTTTCAGAGATAATTTTGGTTTCTTCTTCCGACTACACTTAGGATCTTCTTCCTCATTGTCCTCTCCTACGTCCCTTTCTTCCTTCTGATCTCTGTTGTATTTATAAACCCAAAATAATGACAGGAAAACAATACCTGTCAAACATCTACATGGTGACTATCATGCAACTTAAAAAAAAAAAGTCATTTAACCACCAGGAGAAGGAAAAACATTTAACCACCAGGAAGAGTGTAGGCATTAGGATATCATAGCTAAGGAACACCTAAAACCATTATCATATATGACTCTTCAAAGCAGAAAATGGAAACTAGCTTATATATTAATTTCAAAAGGGGATCAGTACTATATGTGAAACAGGTTCTAACAAGTTTAGAATGATTGGTGTTTCACATCTGCCATCCATACTAATAAAAGAATCAATTACTTAGAGATATTTTAGTATTCGGGGCAATTTTAATGCAAAGATCTAGCAATTATTAACAATGACAAGTGCAACTAAAAAAGGCCAAGTATAACTTTGTAAAATAAAAGTTGGCCAGCAAAAACAGACAATTCCCAGGCCTACCCTGGTTAAAATACCTGGGAAATTCCACTAAAATGTAAGTGTCAAGTCACTTATTTGTGTTATACAATTATATGAAGAAATACACCTTGGTGATAAGCTGAACTTTGTCACACAGTCCCCAGATGGCCGAGTCACATAGCACCACCAGCCACAGCGGACGTCCCTGTCTCGTAATCTTCAGTCTACAGAAATCTACAGTATTGTGACTCAGTAAGCCACTCTCTATGGCCATCTTCAGTCAGCTGGTTCCCAACCTGTGGAGTTTTAGCTGAGTTACTGAAGACCCCCCCCAACATAAAAACAAAACTCTGTTTCCATAAACATCAGCGCCATCAAAATGTACGTAGCCCAGAGAAATTTAAATATTCTCTTGCTAGGGGGCACTCACTGGAATCAAAAGGCTAAAGAAAGAGGCAGAGGCTGTACTTGTAGGTAGGACTTAAGCAGTACAACTAAGATCAGACATGACTGAAGTCAGGAGGTCCAGTAACGGGATCAGGGTCCATAGACCTCTAAAGGAAAAGTCTCTGGGGGAAAAAAGGGGCATGAAGGTGTGACAGATGTCAGGGAGCCTCTGTATTCCTTAGCACTTTGGACTCTAAAACCCATTTTATAGGGGCGCCTGGGTGGCTCAGTCGGTTAAGCGTCCGAATTCAGTTCAGGTCATGATCTCACGGACTGTGAGTTCGAGCCCCGCATCGGGCTCTGTGCTGACAGCTCAGAGCCTGGAGCCTGCTTCAGATTCTGTCTCCCTCTCTCTCTGTCCTTCCCCTGCTCACACTCTGTCTCCTTCTCTCTCAAACATAAACATTAAAAAAAAAAAAATTAAAAATAAATAAATTTAAAAAAAAAAACCCATTTTATAGATGGAACAGGGCAAAAACCTACTTGTCTTTGATATGCCGGGCACAATTCTGGCTGCAATAGTTTCCTCCCGAAAGACACTCCTCTACATTGCCATACTGACAACAGTTCTCACAGAATTGAAGCCCTTCTACTTTCACTGGATCCTTCAACCTGAAAGGCATCCCAGTCTTCTCTGAAAAGACTAGAAGATGGAAAGGGGAAAAGAACAAAAACAAAAAAAAACACACACAGAAAAAACAATTAGAACCATGACAGAAAACATTGCAAAACACAGTCAAACTTTTCCTTCTAATAATTTTGTTAGCAACACAATAAAAGATAATATTTGCTGAATGAATGAATGACCAACCTCCTGTGCTTGGGAGGGAGAAGAGGATGGGCTTGGCAGGAACCACTCAAATCATTTACACAACAAAAAATACTCTGCAGGAAAGATAAAAGTTTGTCTAAGGCTTTTTCTACAGAGTTCAAAGTAAAATAAAGAAAATTTCATTATACTTGACTATACTTGAAGTACAGTATACTATACTTCACTATACTTGAAGATGAAACTGTTAGTAATCTGCAGAATCCTATTTTATGGATGTATCTGACAAAAAAGGCTTATGTATGTTATTTCATGTTTACAACCTTCTGAGGAGTGGGTTTTTTCTACTAAATTGGTTAAATCGACACCTAGTTTACTTTGAAGGTAGCAGATCTCCTAAATCGTAATTATCCCAAATCATTTAGGAACTCACACTTCCTTTCCCCTGAATTGTTAGGCTCCTCATGCATTCAGCAAACATTAGGTGCCAATTTACGCTAGACACTGATAATGATAGTATAGACCTTGCCCCAGAGAGCTCACAGTCTAGAGGAGAAGACAGACAAGAAAACCAATACTTATAATAAAATGTGATACATGCAGTAATCAAAGCATGAACAAGTTCCAGGAGTAGTACAGAGGAAGAAGTCATTCACTCGGCCTGGGGTGAGGTCAGGGAAGGATTTTCTGATATAAAGCCTCAACTGGGTTTGGAAGGCCAAGAGAAATTAACCAACTGGACAAAGAGGGAAACGGCATCTGAGCCAGAAGCAGCAGCAAGAGCAAAGGCAAGGGAGTGTGAAACCACATGATGCATTGAGAGAATTCCATGGAACCCAGTGCTGCTGGCACTGCCAGAACACGGTGTACAGAGAACAGAACAGAGAGCGAAGAGACAAGGCAAGCAGGTGGGCGCGTGCCACCCAGATCCTTGTAGGCTCAGCTAAAGAGACAGTACGAAGTCAGTGAAGTGTCAGAAAAGCAATCTACAAAAGTTCCTCTGACTTGAAGGTGCGGGATAAATTAGGTGAAATTAGAAGCAGAGTGATTCTCTAGGAGGAGTCTGCAATAGTCCAGGTGAGAGCTGCTAAGGGCCTACATTAAGGCAGTGGCAGTGGTCATTAGTAGAAGAAGCCAGATCTGAGACATATTTAGGAAATAAAAACCAACAGGATGGAGCAACAGGCCATGGGGCTGGGGGAGAACGAATTCAGGATGACTCCTAGATTTCTTGCTTGTCCACTGGGGGGATGGTGCTACCATCAACTGAAATATGGGTTACAGAAGAAAGAGCAGGTTTGGGGGAAGGGGAGAAAGAAATAGAAAATGAATCGCATTTCAGACATGTGGAGTTTGAGGTACCTGTGGGACATCCAGGTGGAGATGTCCAGTAGGCAGGTGGAAATACGGGCCTGGAGCTCGGGGGAGAGGTCGGGGCTGGAGATATAGATTTGGGAGTCATCAGCATATAGGTGTTAGTTACAACCATCGGAGTAGATGAGAAAAAAGTGGCAGGCTTTTGGCTAAATCACCTGGGTAGGCTATTGCAACACTGGATTTACTTGGTAATAATTTCCAATTAACCTTGTGCTATTACAGATCTGGCATTAGGAAAGAAGACAGTTTATAGTTATTTTAAAATATAAAAGTTGGTTCCATATGAGTTTTGTTATAGAAATTCACCTAAGAACACGTGACATGAAAATCACCCAGGATCTTCAAAGTTCCAGCCTATTGTAAAACCTAGGTAATTCTTATTTTAAAACTCTCAAAGGAAAGAAAATGGCAATGCAGATGACCCAGTCTTACCTTCCTGAGCAGTTGGTACCATCCAAGTTGTGGTAGCTGTTGCTTTTTTAACATTTTCCATCTCGCTCTCATCTGTGATAACTTCCAGGGCTCCAAACTCGTTTACCCGAAACTAGCGACAATATGGTAGAAAGAGGCAAAACTTACAAAGGTGCTCAGGACAGTAGTCATTTCATGGTGGACACAGAGAGTCTTTAAGCAAATTAGTTATACTTTAAACGTTCATTTGAGCAACTGTATCTAGGTAAGCCCTCTACCAGCAGTAAGCCCTCTGCATTTTACAGATTTGGGGATTCAGGGAAGTAAAAACAGAACAAAGCAGCAAGGCACTTCTTAAGGTACCATACAACCAGCCCTGCACTGTGCTATAGCGATGCCAGCTCACTTAATGTGGCCTATCATTCTGAACACCAGTTGTTGCTAGGACTTTTGTTTCCTACTTCATATTACTACTTCCTTAGTAACCAAAATTACTAAAAGGAGAATTACTATCTTCCCAGGAATCAACTTATCTCACCCGAGCTCACCTAAGTCCAAGAGAAGGAAATCTCTATTCCGGAAATAATGACCTGCACGCCTATATCCTTATATTCCCGGAGGTAGGTGAGGAAGGCTGAAGTGTGAGCCATGTGACCCCCAACTCTCCACTTCTTTCTCTCACTGCTCTTTGGAATTCTCCACCCCATTCACCTCTAATCCTCCAAACAACTGGTAACGTCTACGAGATCTGAACAAATCTGCTAGCTACAGGTCAATTCTATCGCCAAAAAGTACAGGCGTTTTGACTTCATGGACATTTTGACCCCAAATGTTGAAAATTTCCTCTCACCTCATGGCAAGCTGCAAACCTAGTATGTTTCTCTAACAGCCTGGCTGTACTGTGTGTGCATGTTGAAGGCTTACCCACTATCTATGTGCAGGGACCCCTCCATCCTCTTTGAAACAACTAGGTGTACTCTCCTATTGATGAAGTTCAAAGTTTTCCATATTCCTCTGTTTTCCCATAAAACAGAATGATATTAGGGATCCACTAATTTTGACAGTTGATGAAGAACTGGAAAGTTCACAATTCAAAAGGATTATACGACTTTTCGCTTAACGTTTTTAGAGCTTTCACAGAAATATGAGTATGCAAATATGTAGCAGTTAGGCTTAAGACCTTCCATTTTGCAATCTAAAACATCTATTTAGTCAACATGCCAACAGAATCATTCACTTAACCAAACTAGATTCAGAGTACAAGTCAGAAAAAGCTGAAACAAAAATTACTAATTATTCTTTCCACCAGATAAAAACAGCACCTTAAGTAACTGTATGCACACAGTGTACAATAATTAAAAGCTTTTTAGACTGAAGAAGTTGAAATAGTTGAGGAAAGTGAAAATGGTTTCTTCTACTACATATTTCAGATACAAGTTCCCAGGTAACATGTGTATACTATACTGAGTGTGTTCGCCTAAAAATGTCAGGCTAGGAAGTGGCAAAAAGTTAAGTGGGAGGAAAGGAGCTAAATATAACTTTACTTTTGGGGGGGGTAAATAAATTTTTAAATGATCCACTCTGAAAACAGAATATTTCAAAATAAAGCTGACAGTACCATCTACTGGGCAAGAACAGAAAAAACAAGCCATAATGATTACTAATTAATGATAGTAAAGAAGAACACAGAAAATCAATTCTGAATCAAAGTTTAAAAAGGCATTAGGCATCACCTTTATAATTCAGTCCAGGTAGGTAATTTTACTCTTATTAGATGCCAATATTAATTGATACTTATTTGAAAAATACAAAATGTGAAAAATAGCACCATTTTCATCACATGCAGAATCTCCTGTGGTGTAAGTTTCCAAATTACTGCTACACTGTAAGCCACCCTGCATTTCCAACAATGAGAAAGAGAACACCACCGAGTGGAATCTTTGAATAAAAATCCAGAGTTATGACACTTGGAAGCTTTAAGCTCAAATACTTTCAAAGTTAAAAGGTAATATCCCCACAATACAACAATTAATGCTAGTTGTCTTTTCCTTATAATGTTTATTGCCAGTAACTGACCTATAGCCAAAGTACAAATGAAAGATGTCATGACACTTAGGGACACAATTAACTCCTGTAAGTCAGGTATCTATAGTTGGACTTTAGGGGATTGAAGAATCCCATGAAATTCATACAGAATGATGTCATGGACACATACACATTTTTCTGGGAATAGGGTTCTTCAGTTTCATCATAGTCTCAAAGGCATCCTATAACCTTGAAAAAGTAAAGAACATTATTCTAACCAAGTTACTTTATCTCAAAAATTAACCACAAAGTGTTTTCAAAGTATCCTGTCATATGCAAAAAAAAACACAGGGATCAATTTTTTTTTTTTCTGGCTTCTCAACTTGGATTTACTGTCTTTCACAATATTAGTACTGCTGAAAATGCTGGACAACATAGGTTGTTAGGTGCTGTTAACATTACTGGAGTTCCACAAATAGCATTCCAGAAAGACTGACACATTCCCTAACATTTTTCCCCCCAATAAAACACTCAGAAATGGGTAATGCTTTCATGAATGGTTTTGGAGCCATGGAAACTTGAAATAATCACTTTTATTTCTTTTTTCAAAGTTATGAGTTCTTTTAACCTAGACATCTAAAAAGCAGCATAAAAATCTATTGAGTGACTCCATTCCAAATCAAGAACATCAAAATTATAAACTCTACAAAAGAAATTTATTAAATAAGCACATCAAACACATCAGCTGACACCGTAATTTGTTCTACTAGTGGAAACATCTAAGTCAATCAGAAAACAATTATGCCTGAAAGATACAAGGGATTGCAAAGGTTTGTTTGGCCTGGCTTGAACTACCTTTAATTGATTCAATTCTCTTTATTTTTGCTTGTAGAGGCAAAGGATCCTTTGCTTTTTGCCTATCTTTAAGAACAGATCCTTAAAAGGCACTGCTGAGGTTAGTATTTTTGTTTTGTTTTATTACTTTCAATGTCAAAATATGAGTTCTATTTACCAATCTGTTTTAAGGGCAAAGATATTTGGTAACTAAAGTTTTCTGAACATTAATCACAACGAGCAAAACTGTGCACTATGAGCACAGTGTTTCCAGTTGGGTTTCTGCCCTGCTGCCGCAGGGTCTTGCTCTCAGTTAAGTGGCAACTATTCTTACTAGATAAGATGCTATCGCTCTCAGGAGTATATCTGCATTTTACTGAGGGATTCCAAATGGCTAAATCCTTAGGACCCAGAGGAATAATCCTCTGTGGATAAGTTTCAGACATCATTACAAGTTCAGAGAGAGAGATTGCTTAGGGACAGGGAGCCCCAGCATGCACCTTCCCGCTACCGCTCACTGCCTGCCTGTTCTTATGGCTGGCCCTGAGATATTAGTCTACAAATACTAATTTGCCATTTTATAGAATAATGAGGCAACGGTGCAGTTTCCAAAGCTTGCTTAAACAAAAATGTCTTGTTAATGACTATAATATTTTCAAGGAGGCCCCTGGACACTTGCTGTTCTCCCCTAACACTATACTTTCTTATGCTAGTCCTTCTTTTCGATGCCCTTCTCTCTCTTGCCTGCTGTCCCTGACCCACAAAATCTTCATATAGATGCCGACCTATTTTCGGGTACCTGAAGCTCATATGACAACTACTTCCCCGAAGCCTTCCTGATCCCTCCAGCTAAAACGATACCTCTTCTAAATCGCTATAACATTTTCTCTGTATCTCTTTTGATATGAAAACATTTTCTCTCTTTAGACTATAGTATACTAGTGGTAAGAGAATCGATTCCAGTATCAGAAAAGCCTGGCTTTAGACCTAGTTCTGCCAATTATCTTGACCTTGAGCAAATGATTTAACCATTCTGGGCCTCTGTTTTCCCATCTGTAAACTGACAACAATGATAGGAACTACCTCAAAAGGATTAAATGAAAGGATTAAATACAAGGATACAGATAAAGTGTTCATCAGAGAGTAAGCTTTCTATTCTTTCCCCTACTGCACCTGAATGGAAAAAGTTTTTGCGCTCTGTTTTATATAAAGGCTGTTTAGCCTCCCTGAAAAGGGGCAAGGGAAACAGTATAAAGGAACGAAGGTTTGAAACCTTCAACTAGACAGTTGGGCTGGAAAGGAAACAAGATGGCACTGAGGAGTTAAACGAGACACAGCCAGAGGGAAGTAGGGGCCAGACCACCAAAAACTTCTGGGGTAAACTTAAGGGGATTGACTTTGCCACGAAAGACAGGAAACTGCTAAAAGTTTTTAAGCAGAAGAGTGATATAATTTGGCCAGCAATCATGAGGCTTTTACAGAGAAACATACTTTCAAAATGGTAATAAACCGAAGCATATAAAAACCTGTTTACATGATAAGAAACTGACTTCTATGTAGTAGTTGATTGTACTGGCTGAACTAACCTGAGCTTCTTGTCCTAGGATAGCACCTTGTTTATTAGGAAATTTACATGCCTACACCCACTACAAAAAAGTAGCTTCAATAATGTAAAGTAGGGGGGCTCAGTCGGTTAAGCGGCCGACTTCGGCTCAGGTCATGATCTCGTGGTCCGTGAGTTTGAGCCCCGCGTCGGGCTCTGTGCTGACAGCTCAGAGCCTGGAGCCTGTTTCCGATTCTGTGTCTCCCTCTCTCTGACCCTCCCCCGTTCATGCTCTGTCTCTCTCTGTCTCAAAAATAAATAAACGTTAAAAAAAAATAATAAAAAAATAATGTAAAGTAGGCAAAGCATGATGTGAAAGAGCAAATTTCATGCTTTATTCAAAGTTCTTTTTAATATCTTAATTTTGTGAAAAATCAATTTCTCAATCAGATCTCTGAAGCAACTCAGATATTAATATTAGGAGCAAGTGATTCAGAAATCCTAAATTAACACAATCAACTGACTATCTGAATCTCTTCAGATAAAAATGGTTATGAAGTAGAAATTTTTTTTTCATTTTTTTTTTTAGAAGTGGGGTTTCATACTGTCTACAGTACATGAAGTGAACTGGATACATGGAAATTACCCACATAATTAGATGAGCCTAAAAGTCAAATAAAATAAACCAGATTGTAATACCCACTAAGTGGCTTAATTACCTGATTACCTTAATAAAAGTAATAGGCTAATTCCTAAGATCTATTGCTTAGAAAACCTTCAGGCAATTTAAATTTCTTAGGGATTGAAAGTTCAAAACCTAACTGAACAAAAATTATAAATTTCATCATCCACCTGACATCAAAAAAAAAAGCAAGTGAGAAGAAGGGACAAAAATGTACAAGCAAAATATGAGAATAAAGCAATTTTAAAAAGGCAATTTACATAATATATCACAAAGCCAGAAAAAAATACAATTTGTTAAATGTTTTCCATATGTTATATTTTTTAATCCTTATAACCACCTTGTGACATAGATTCTATTTCCTCATTTTATACATAAAGATTCTGAAACTTAGGGAATTTAAATAACTTGACAAAGCTCATATAGCTACTATGAGGCTGACATTATGAGCGTCTGGAACGGTTTTTCTTTCTGAAAAATCTCAGCACTCAATTCCCATCATATCTAATCCAGATGAACATTTGGAGAATGTTAGAGCAGATAAAGTCCTTAGCATTCATTTAATTCCTTATTTTACCAAAGAGGAAACTGGCCTGAAGAGATTGACTGACTAGTTCAAGGACATACAGAACTAAAACTAAAAACCGTATCTCCTTTTCAGAATTCACTGAACCTCACTGCGATATTTTTGTTAAGCTTAACAGATAGATATGTTGGCACACTGCACTTAATTTAACCTAACCCAACTAAAATCTGGGTATTTTTCCAGTGACAGACTGTCCAAATCTCACCACTGAAGATGAACTAGGTTGGGCTTGGCTGAAATACTCGTCAAGTAGCCACTGGATTCCAGGAAGCCAATTATTAGGGGGCAGGAATTTCTATTCGAGATAGGCCAGAACATCAAGCACTAGAGGGAAAAGCCAACTGACAGCCAGTTAGGGTGATTAGAGGTTCAAAAACCTGAGTGACCAAGTACAAACAAAGTCTAAAAGGCCACAGACAGGTTCAAGGTCCCAGAGATAGGATTAGAGCAAAAGCAAATTAGAATTGAGAGGTGGGGTGGACTGGCTTCCTGGATGAGTGCTTGCGTAACTGTTTCATAGGGCAGCAGAGGTGGGCCTAGAGTGGGTTCGGGAAGCCTTGGGAAAAGGGGCAGGATAAGCACATAGTAAAGAGGCACACTGAAGCGTCATTCTCTGAAGAGAGTTCTCCTCTATATAAAAGCAGCCTGGTTTACAGGAAGGACCAGCTTTTGAACAAATGATTATATAAAAATTCATATTTATCATATAAATAATTTAAGGGAGGAGAATAGCCCTGTCTATTCAATATTTTAATATTATCCAGTTTTCAAATGAGAAAACTAGGGCACAGGGAATGTGGTTATTCATTTAAAGTTCTCAAGTTCATTATTACAAAATACATGAAGCCAGGTCTTCTAAGCCTACCATTTCCATATTTATTGTCCGTCATGATAAAGTCAAACCAAGGGTGATCCCCTGGAAGCTATAATTCGACTTCTGCAAAATAAGCATATGCCAAAATATTCTCATCCACCACCCCAAGTGACAAAGACTTCGGCCAATTCGTCAACATTCCAAATTGTCTTGAAAATTTACTGTAGAGGTCTAAGTATCATATAAGACCTAAAGCATTATGCTTAATGCTTTTAATTCTTATTTTACATATGTGGTCAAACTCCTTTTAACAAATAGCACACAGATGCACACACAGATAACTGTATTTAATAAAGACAGCTTACCTTTAAGTCACTTCCTGGTAGCGTGCCTACTCCATCTTTCCAGTCCATAACACTGAATACATCAAATTCTTGACCACTTGTGCTAGAGGCAGATTCAGTCATGATTTATTTTGGAACCTGGAAGGGGGAAAAAGGCAGATCATTAAATACTGAACGTACAGATCAGTTTTTATTTTAGTGGTCACTGCTTTGGTTTCCCTTAATTACATAATTTTCTTGATCACAATATCCTATATCCATAGATCTAGAATTAAGTGCTTCGAAAATATCACTAACATTTTTTCTAGTACAATCCCTGGTAAATTTATGTATTTTTTAAAATATTTACTTTGAGAAAGACAGAGTGTGCATGCGCACATGAGCAGGGGAGGGGCAGAGACAAGGAGAGAGAGAATCTAAGCCGGCTCCGTGCTGTCACTGCACAGCCAGTCACGGGGATCAATCACGCCGATCGTGGGAACATGACCTGAGCCGAAATCAAGAGTCACTTAACTGAGCCACCCAAGCACCCCCTAATCCCTGGTAAATTAAAGAGGAAAGAATATACCTAAAATTTGTAAAGTGTCAATGTTTCTATTCTTAAAAAAGGAATTCACCGTTTCACAGCACATTCACTTAAAACAAAAAGTCATGATATATATCAACAGAATTTCTTGCCCACTAAGTAGGGAGTTTTGTTGTTGTTGTCTGAAGATATTGATGACAGAGTGGGTATGGATAAAGGACAAGACATTAAATGTTAATAAGCAAAATGAAACCTTTTCGATGATAAAAAAGAACAAGAAAATTCCAGTCCATTAGGACTATCATCTATGCTAATTTGTCAGTTAAGTTTGTTGTATCAATTCAACAAATACATGGTGTGATTGACTCTCTCAGTGAATTGATTTTTTGAATTCAGTTGAGATATCCACCAATTTGAGGTTCTGGAAAATAGGAAAACAGTCTTAAAATATACAGCAAACACTAATAATTAAGGCTATGTTAAGAAAACCAAGTCAACTAGCCAAACTGTGATAATCTGTTTAATTTTCATTTTTCTAAACTGCAAAACAGTTTTCCATAATCGTATTGTTAGTAATTGTATTGAGACCGTTATTCTGAGACTGTTGTCTATGTGGTATGGGATAAAAGAAGTAATTATGTTGGTGTCATTGATAAGCAATGGAAGATGGATTAAAGTCCTAAATTTGATGCATTTTTAAACTTTTTTTTTTTTTTTTTTTTTTT